ACACACACACACAGACCTCTTAATTAGTTTGGTGGAGTTTTACAAACAAAGCTGACCATCACTCGTGATGAACGCTGAGTTTATCCCAGTGGTGATGGACGTTACCTCCAGTGCGTCCCTCCTCTTCTGGGTCAGGGTCCCCAGGTTGTCCCACTGGTCACAGATGCCCTGGCAGCGGGTGTTGACTGTGGCAGCATCGTGGTAATCCAGCTCGCTGAGGGAGTGAGAAACATCTGTATCATATAGACGGTAAATAAAGATGGACAACAGGTGGTTGACTCCACCTTCTCCATGACATTACCAGAACAAGATGGCCGCTCCCTCATCAGAACATCTGTACTTCTTAATTCACAGTCTTTGATATAAACAGTACAAATGTAAATGTGATTTAATAAATTTAAACTTCAACGTGAGATAAAACCTAAATAACTTTATTATAAAGAAGCAGAACAGCAGCTTTTAACCGAAACATTTGAAGGTTGTTGGACGTCACTGATAAACTTGAACGTCTGTTTTTCCTCGTCTGTGACGCAGAGGTCACCTGAGAGCGTTTAGCTTTTGAAGCTGACAAATGAAGCTCGACGTTTCTACATGTTCAGCTGGTGATTCACTGTATCTGTCATCACAGAGCTCGTGCCTGTCTGTGAGACGCCCTGAGGAGCGATGGAGGAGCCGTGGAGATCAAGAGGTTTCTGCTCTTTCATCTCTTCATCCCTCATTAATGTGCTTATCACTCGTGTGTTGCATCTTTTGTTCTTCGCTGTATTCTTCTACCTCGACCATTAATACGAGCGTCTGCAGGCTCTCGCTGCCTTTTCTCCTCTTATTCGCTCCGTTTCTCCGGCTCTCCGTCACTAAGTTCCAGTTTCTCTCTGCGATCGTGACGTTAGAAACACTTCTGCTGCAAGTTTCCCTCAAATGAAACCTCCTCTCCTCCTGCGTGGGTCTTACTTCAGCTCCTGGGCGATGGCGGCGATCTGCTCCACTCGGTCCTGGTGAGCGGCGAGGTCGCTCTCGAAGGCCTCGTGCTTCCTCATGAGAGCTCTGATCTCCATCAGAGAAGCTGACTCGTAATCCTTCTGGGACAACAAGTCCTCCTTACCTGAAACACATGTTGGACACGGGGACATCAAGACTAAAAGCTTTTTTTGGAACACTGACTTTTCTACCTTAAACCACAGCTTGTGGCTGCAGGGGGCGCTGTTTTATTAAATCATTTCTTTTTGTGATTTCACCGTAGCTGTAAAAACACACATATATCTTTCTTCTCTTTGTTCTCACCTCCAGTCCAGGACTCGTGCATCGCACACTTCTGCTTGAACTTCTCAGCCAAGTGGTCGAGTCTCTCCAGGCGGCGGATCTCCGTCAGCAGCCACTCCTCGTAGCCCTTCTCCACCTGCTCCAGACCCTTCCAGGCGTTGGCGATGTCCTGGAGGAGGAAGAGGAGGAGGAGGAGGTTTAGTCTTTACTGTGACGTGTGGAAGCGAGGAAGAGTTTCATCTGCTCTTTGCAGCCGTTTGAGAAGATGATTGTGATGAATAAAATATATTCAAGGAGCTTTTTTTAATATCAATGTCAGTCAATGAGAATTTCTAACAGATCGAACCCCTTCAGTGTTTCTGGTTCATCACTTCATCTCTGTGAAACATTTAAGAACTCGGAGAACGACCCTGGAGATCGACCAAGCAGAAACCTGAAGCCTGAAAGTCTCTCACCGACACCATCTTGCCCTCGGAGGGCATGAAGGCGGGCCTGTTGCTGAGCCTCAGCTTGGTCTGCAGGGTGTTGAAGTTGATCTCCAGCTGACATTTCTCCTGCACGCGTGGCGGCTTGTGGATGCGGCGGTAGTCACGGAAGTCCTCCAGCTTCTGCTGCATGGCCCTCATGGTCTGCTCCGTCACACGGTTCTCCAGCCAGGGGATGGTGCGGCGGATCCACTCCAGCAGCTGCAGAGAGCAGAGTTCATAAATGATCATTCTCTTGTTCTCGTGTTAGTGGAAGAAGTTTTATATCCTTCGGAACATTTCAGAGCTGTGTCGTGGATCCGTCTACAATACTTTCTATCTCACTTGACCTTTGACCTTCGCTTCATCCCTCTTAATCCCACTGGTGCTTATCACAGTCATTTCATCAGAAAGAGAAAGGACTGAATGTTTTTAATCAGTTTTATATAAAACTGCACATTTATCTGTGATATCAACTTTAAAGACTCGTCGGGTTTTGTCTCTGACTGAATTTGAAGGTTTCAAAAAATATGTGGTGAAGTTTCTGTGACGTTGTGAAGTTTAGAGGAGGAGCAGTGATTTGAAACTTGCTGCAGAGGAGGACGTGCAGGATTAAAGATGGAGGAGGAAGGAGGAGGAGGAGTGTTCGGGTGCAGCCGTCTCTCACCTCGCTCGCCAGCTTCTCGTACTCCTCCATCAGTTTCTCGTTCTCCTGGTTGACGGCCAGAACTTTGCAGATACGGTTGGCGGCGGTCTCGGCCTGAGAGGACGAGATGAACATTTACTTCACATGAATAAATCCTCTGGATGTTGTTGTTTCATTGAACTGATGACGTTAGAAACCGTCCGACCTGCTCAGCTCCGGCGAAGGCGTGGTAGAAGCAGGACACGTAGGTCATGATGGCCTTCTCATCGGGTTTGGGTGTGTTCACAATATCTGAGGAAGGAAAAGTATTACAAACATCACACCTCAGAAGAAACGAGATGATTTCAGATCTACCTGTAGACGATGATTGTTATATTTCTAAAGTCACATCAGTTCTTCAACAGATGATTTCAAAGACGCACGAATGTGGATTTTGTGAATCCGGTGCGATCGAGCTCTCGTCCCCGTGAACTCGATAAGTTCAGGTTTGTGTTTAGTTTCCTCACCTTCAGCGTCGAGCATCTTGGGGATGTCCAGGAACTTCTCCGCCACCTCGAAGGCGGTGTTCAGGTTTCCAATGGGGTCATCCTGCAGACACACAACCAGTACTGTCAGATAACTCGGGATTCATCAGGGAAACACAAACTGCTACTGGCTCAACGTAGTTCTGAAATATTACTTGAAGTATTAATACTCCGCAAAGCGAACAGGATATGTCGTCTTATACGTCACATCCACAAAAGATTCAGGGTCGTCCAGTATTTGAACAGAAAGAACAAACGGGAGTGAAAGTAAAAAAGAACAGATGCAGATAAATAAAGGTGGAACAAGAGACGGGAGGACAGAGCACCTTTCTCAGTTTGGAGTAGTCGATAAGGTCGGGTCTGTGTCTGTGGATGAGGGCGCACAGAGCCAGGCCGTCCTTCCAGCTGAGAGGAGGAAGAGGAGGAGGAGGAGGAAGAAGACGTGAGTCAGAAAGTCAAGAGGATGAAGATGGAACAGAGTAAAGAGCAAGTGATGCGTAGTGAAAGGAGGACGAGAGGTTGGAAGAGAACGTGTGTGTGTCCAGATGTTAACACAAAGACAACGACAGGTTGGAAACAGGGGAAATAAAAATGGCTGCAGTTCTCTGTGACGCCACAGTTCGGTGGTGTCGACCCACCTGATGTGGAAGTTCTGCACGTTGACGTTCCTGTAGGGGGCAGTCTTCCTCTGGCACCACAGCAGCAGACCCTCCTTGGCAGAGGTCTCTGCAGACAGAGCCACACATTATTCTCTATGGGGGGGGGGGGGGGGCGATACAATGACACTGCAGCAGAGCGACTGTGACTGGTTTGATTCATGAAGATGAAGAGGAGGGAAATCTATAAAATAAACAAACCCTCAGCTCGACTCTAGTGCAGGAGGAGGTTTTAATATTCTGTCCTGCGCTGGCAGAGGACAGATGCAGAGGACAGATGCATTATGGGAGGGGGAAAGGAGGTCGGAGGACACTGAAGAGCAGCGGCATAAAGAGACGAAGAAGACGAGATGAAGGTCTGAGTCCTAATAAACAAAAATGTCTTGTGACCTGAATAATAATCAAATATATTAAAACCACTCGAGTCGCAGATGAAGCTCAGTTTTAGACGGTGAAGGAGAATTCCTCTTTCTTTACAGCAGGACGATAAATGTTAATAACTTAATATTTAAAACTGTTAGAAACAATTCAATAATTCTCGTTTATTGCATCTTCGCTAAAACTCGACACTCGAACTAATGTTGATGAATAAAAATCCACCGTCCACATGAAATAAAACATGTTGTAGTTAAAGTTACTACGATAGAAACAAACTCTGAACTTCACTAATTCACAGTTTGAATCTCGTGAATGTGGAAGAAAATCTAAAAGTTATTTTCCCTGAGTTCAGGATCTGTTTCCATCTTTTCACCAACAAACATGTGACGCTGTTTTTAACCAACATTCAACTTTACCTTCCACAGAAATGTCCTGGATGGCAAAGCGCAGGATGATGGTCCAGATCATTCCGAGGGTCATCTTCCCATTACCGTCCACGATTTCTACACACACACACACACACACACAACTTTAGCTCACGCTTTCCTAAATATTTAATTTTATTCAATACAGGAAGTGGTGGGACAGGAGACGACTCACCCTCAGCACCAATAGACACCAGCTTCACGCCCTTGCTGCAGATGAAGTCCAGGGCTTTGTTCACGTTGGCGATCTTGTGGAAACGCATCTTGCCTTTGTCGGGTTTTGGCAGCCGCTCGCCTGAGAGACAGAGAAAATGTTGACGAGGGCGGAAACGAGCTCAGTTTGTCATTGAGCAGAAAATTCATCTGCAAACAATTTGAACCAACAATTAAAAGTTTATTTTGATTTTCAAGCTCCTCAAACGATTTACTGATTTTCTGTTTCACTGAAAGTTTCCTTTGTCTCTAATAAACCGACGAACACTTAATAAACAAGTCGACCTCAGATTAAACAATCGGGACGTTTATCACGTTAAGTTCAGGTTCAATCAAAATCAGGTGAATAATCATGATTTAAAGTTTCAGTATTTACATGTTGTTCAGGGTTCATCCCTCAGAACATCTTAGTACTGCAGAAACTAGTGCAGTACTACTACTGCAGAAACTAGTACTGTAGAAACTACTGCAGAAACTAGTACTGTAGAAACTAGTGCAGTACTACTACTGCAGAAACTAGTGCAGCACTAGTACTGTAGAACCTAGTGCAGTACTACTACTGCAGAAACTAGTGCAGTACTAGTACTGTAGAAACTAGTGCAGTACTACTACTGCAGAAACTAGTGCAGTACTAGTACTGTAGAAACTAGTGCAGTACTACTAATGCAGAAACTAGTGCAGTACTAGTACTGTAGAAACTAGTGCAGTACTAGTACTG